ATAATTCATTAGATAAAGGTAAGACGCCATATAGTATAACCAGTAATTTGTGGTAGGAGGTGCGCCAGTCTCAATAGGATTCACCTTCTTTACAACCCACTAACACCGACCCTTTGTTTGTCTCTTGTCATATATTATAGCCAGTCAAGTAGGTCATCAGTTTTATTAGTTGTAGCAAAGGAAAAAGACAATTAATATTTTTAGGGGAAGAGGAGGGAGAAAAAGACAACTGTAGGAATTGATAAGGGAGGATATCCGTAACAAGTGACCACAAGTATGAGGCAGAGTAGAATAGAGGGCTAGGGTAGGAGTAGGGTTAGGGGTTGGTCTCTTCTTTGTTATGTTTGTTGAGGTGGTCGCTCGTTTCAGAAGTCCTTCCATTGATAATGAGGAGAGCTGAGATAGATTTAACAGTGGGAGTTGTGTTGTTTTTTAGTTTTCTTATATTTAATTTATAAGCTTGTTTTTGAGGCTGGTGCTTTGAAAGGCATGGGGTGGTGGGGCTATTCAGTCTGAAGAGGAAATTGGGTATGAGGGGTTGGGTGTCAAAGGGGAAATGATGCTCAATCCCTCATAGTCGGTGAAGTCGAAGACGTTAGTCTCAGGAGTCAGAGAGCCAGGTAACAACGATAGTGGCAACTCATTTTTTGGACAGGGCAGTTTTTGAAGGAGTTGAGCTGAGGGAAAGGGGTGGAACACATCCACGAGCCACTTGAAATTGAATATTTTTGTATTTTTTTGAGTAGTTGATATGAAAAAGGTGTTCTAGTTTTAAGAGTGTGGGCTGTCGTGGCTGAAAGTCCAATATTGTTATCAAATATGACAGTTCAGGGGTCAAGGGGGAACTGACCTTTGTCCTTTCATATTGGGTTTCAGTTTTGGAAGGCAAGGGAATCCAGAATGCCTGTATTTGGTGTGACGGGGTAGGGTAGTGGGCCGATCTTTTTCGTTTCAAATGATGGCAGTTTTAAATTTTGTGTAAAGGCTTGATGATTGGGATTTTTGGTTTACTTGGCTGGCCATAGTGTAGAGACAAATGTGTATGTATATATATATGTGTGTGTTGTTGTTTTGCATGGTCCATGCCCCTAGAGTAGATCCCCATTAACATAGTCACCAGTAGATGAGACTGAGCGCACATATTTCGGCCTATTTTTTTGTCTGGTGACGATTAACTAAATTTGGTTTGCTCCACTAGGGAGTGGGAATGTGGGAAAGTGCCCGCCTCGTGACTCTTTGGGAGCAGAGGATGTTAGGATATAAAATACTTTAAGCTAACAATAATATTATGGTACTGTCATAGTTCGAGTTCTGTGTGTTTGCGATTTTGTGTTGTCTAGCATTTGTAAGGTGTTGTTTGCATTGTGTTTACTGTTATTTTGTTCTTAGTACTGTGTACCTACTAATTTTCTTCTACTGGTTGTACTGATTATTATTCATGATGGCGTTCTTACAATAATAGATTCTAGATCTATGCTAGGAACGGGCACGGGACAAAATTATAGATTAAAAAATTATTTTGCTTCCATGATTGGCAGCGACCAGTAAAGTAGACAAGCTTCATTTCAACAGTTGTTTGCTTATTTCATGCTCAGTCATCTCATAGCTGCGCCTGTTGGCAAAGTACTCAAAATTATCATCAGGTATTTTCTGTTTGCTTACAACTGTGCTCTGAGCACCAAAACACAAGAGAACACCTCTTTGCCAACATCAGCTTACCTGTTTCTCCAGCACCTGTGGTAACTTTGGACTTACATTAAATACCAAAAGAGATGAAAATAATGTTGTAACCACCTTTCGGAGAGCTTCGTATAAAATTTGCATAAAAGTGTACCTCTCCAGAGCCTGCGGTCTCATATTTTGCTCATGTCAGAGAGAGTCAAATGCTGTAGAAAAATTCACCAACCGTGACTGCAGATAGTCTCAAACAGCCAATACAGACGCAGAGATTAGTAACGGTTGCTAGAGCCGGTGCAGCGTTCAAACGACTCGAAGGAAAAACATCTGAGAGCACAGAGTAAAGAGCTCAGTCTGAGCACAAAGCTGAAGGTTTAAGACAGCGCAGTGATTTTTGTCATCGTTCTCCTCCCAGTCAGTTTCATACCTTGCACTTTTTTGGCCGTCATACAACACTGTTTCGTCAAGTTTATGAAGAGATTCAGATATGTACAGGATTGAAGGTTACACAGTTTGTTTTTGAAACAGTACAGATCTGTTTGCTATGTTGAATAGATCTCAAAACTTCGAACAGTTTGAGTGTTGCTATATTTTGTGTGCTATGTTTTGAAATGCAGAACTTTGTCCAAAGTTGAGATGCAGAAATAATTCAATGTCAAACTTCTTCTGAATTAAGATTCTAAGAAAAGAAACTCCAGTTTGGGACAATTTAAGTGAACAAAATTTGCCTTTAGAAGGCTCTAGGTTGCCTTTGCCTTTGTTAATTTTGTTTAACATTTGGCACCTTCGATGGTTTTTTGTTGTGATTGATTTCATAGATCTTTTCACTGTGTAAAACGCCCACCTGAAAACAGGCGTTCCACCAGAGGACGGAGAGACACGTTTGACCGGCAAGAGAGGACGAGTCACTGGAGAGCCCGTCATGAAGCCGGAAGACGTGGTCACTCAGCAGACCTAAAGCCAAGACTGGCCTGAGTCGGATTTCCAGCAGAGACTGCCACAGTTCCCCTTCCCCATCCCCTCCCTTGCAGAAGTTGGAAGTACTGGGCCTCATCGTGGCGCAAGGGTGAACACCCTGTTCAAACCACAATACACATGTCATGCTGAAACAGGAGCAGACTGTGTGGAGAGGTTTGAGCTGGGTGGCCAACACAGTACTACACTCACCAGTGTGAAGGATGAATGGAGAGTCTATAGGCAAGTGTGCAAAATGTGAGCTGTTGGATGTAGTTTGTTAGTGTGTTGAATGAAACCCAAACTTGAACCTCTTGCGTTAAAAAAAAAATGTGTTATGTATTTCTTGTAAATAAATTGTTAAATCTAAGTTTTGACTACTACCACAACTAGTATTATCTTTTATGTCATGTATATTGGGGCTGGAAGTGTAACACTACAGGTTTTTAATGCTGTCCTCTGTTTAATTCATCTGACTGCCCAATAGCAAGGGATGTGACTCTTAACACGACATGGTGAAGGACGATATCATAATGAGTTATTTCCCTTTGTACAAACTGATGAGATGGCCTGGCATTTGTGTTCTCTCTCAAAATCTTTCAACTTCAGTTGAAATTCCTCCCATGACGCGAATTTTGCTCCCTTGAACATGATGCCCAACCGTGTGAAGTGAAAGAGAAACTAGGCAAGGCTTCCGCTTAGGAGAAAAAAAACAATAATTGCGCATGCGTCATTCGGGTGTATAATAACTCAGGTTATTCTACACCCAAAATTTGGGTGTAGAATAACACTTCGATATATATATATATGCAAGTATGTATTTCTTGTAAGTAAATCTTTTGATCTAAGTTGTGACTTTGTATTCTTGCTGACACTGCCCTGTGCTCTGCTATCTTCAAACCTGGTCATAAAATAAATGAGACTTTCTTGTAGTGGTAGAGACTATAAACCTGTAGGCTACTAGAAAAAAATTAACAAAGTTAAATAATTGATTTATGTTTTTAAAAATTTATTTATGTATTATTTGTCTTATAAATACTTTTGTATTGGCTATTCCGTATCACAACTTCTGCATGAGTATCAAGGTACCAGACCTGCCAAGTGGTGTGATAAAATTGGGAATCTCCAACTGACCAAAAATTCTTTGTTATAATAGAGGCACAAATCTCTACACAAAGTGACAAAGTCAGATACAGAGCTCTAATTTTTTTTCCCCAGGAAGAATCCTGAAGGGATTTGAACATAATCTGATTTTTTAAATTTCTTGATAGCCTTATTTATAATATATGCAATTTATGGTAAATTATCGTAAATGAAGCTAAAATACACATTTTCCAATAAGGAATTCAGTCAGCTCAACTGTCGAGGGGACAGATGAACTGTGGATCTTTTAAAGGCTCCTAGCTGGGACGTGTCAGGTCCAGATCTGTGCTGGTCCACAGATGTTCTGTGCAGTCTCTCTTTCTTCTCAAGTGCTGTGAGGGGACGAGGGCGGACGCTCCGGTAGTTCTGTTGGTCATGCTGGACTGTAAAGTAGTTCTGTTGGTATCATTGTGAACTAGAAAGTAGTTGGCCCTGATTCAAGTACCAGGCTGGGCCTTCATGAACTCTGGTGTTTTGGTGGAGTTTTCAGAGGTCCCACCCCTTAAATAGCCTTATAGTGTTGATAAGGGCATTGAACCCATACAACAACGTGATAAGGAAAAGATTTGAAACCATCCTGACTTTCTTCCATGTCACTGACATGGACAACTTTGTTCACAGGGAAGAGGAAGGCAGCAACCCCCTCCTCTAGTTCTGTCCCTTCCTCAACAAACTTGCGGAAACTTTCACCTCCAATGTCCACCCCCAACATCAACATGGCTGTCGACAAAGGCACGTTGGCGTGGAGTGGCAGTCTCAAGTCTCAGCTACCCAGTGTACTGCCCAGACAAGCCAGGCAAGTTTGGTGTCAAGATAATTCCAGCTCTGTGACTTCAGCAATGCTCACTGCACACTTGCCAAGTACTCTGATAAAATTGGAGCCCTTCGATATTTTATTTCATAATCTGTTCTTGAACCCCAAGTGGATTTACACAAATCAGGGGGGGTTTTTTGGAGATAAATTGAAGTCCATTCCCATCAGTTATGCGCAGCTTATTGTAAATGACAAGAAATTACGTTGGTTTATTTGCAATATTTGTCTGACTTACTGTAATGAAGTGAAAATACACGTTTTTATCTTTGTGTATTTACTACACTATTCTATCATGGGTTATTTGCTACTTACGGTATGTAATGTGATCTACCGCGGTTCTGGAGACTCCATTTTTTCCTGGACACATGACAACAACCCAGCAGACAGGGATCATCCAGCAACAGACGTGCTTACACTTACAGATTTAACAACAAAGGACAATGCTGATGACAAGGAAAATGAAACTGATTCCTCGGACAGAGCGGTGTTGACACAAGAAATGTTTTTTGCTTAAAGTGCACTTCATCTGTACCTGCAATAGAAATGTCGACTGTTGTGACCCCAGCACGTCACTGACTTCAGCACTTGACAGCCATGGAAGATGTAATGGTGATGAGCTGATGGAAAATTAACAGACAACGATTTTCAACTTCTATCAACAAAAGTGGCGACATCTATGAGGACAGGAGATAGCTGGGAGATGCGGGCCCAGGGACTCTCTTGAACTCATCATAAAGCTCACAGCTACTAGTAGTAACTACTGAGTTCCATCTAGTTGTGGAATCCTCTCTCCAACAAAAGCAAAAAACATTTTAATGGGCCTACGGCAGTCCTAAGCCTGCAAACCAACTCCAGTTGGGAACTCAGAAGGGAATGTTTTTTTTAATAACCCACCCCCACCCCAAAAGAAAAAAACAACAACTCAACGTGAGTGGTCGGTGGGTGCTCTGGTGTGGTTAGTGCCTTCTTTCCTGTTAAACTTCTATTGTCCTTATAATAATATAATCTCTCCTATTCTTTGTATGTTACTCTCCAGTACTTACTTTCACTTTTTCTGTCCTCTTATGCCACAAGGTGTCGAGGGGAGGTCAATTGTTGGATTTATGCTAGGTGTTTTGGTCGTCATGCTGTTCCTTTGGAGGGTCTCTTTGACTTCGTTGATCCATCTTTTTCTTTTGCCATGAAGTTGAAGCCATCGAATGACAGTGGGTAGTTGACGGGTGCTCTGGTGTGCTTTGCTTCTTCTTTCCTATCAAACAACTATCCTCTTTATCTCCACTCCTTCTTTTTTGTGTTTGTTACTCTCTTGTAACACCTCTAACTCACTGACTACGGATCCCGTCACAGGTACGGGGCGGGCGGTCGGTTCGTAGGTACGGATCTCGTGCGTACCCCCGACGGGATGGACTTTGCGGTTTTGTTCCGTATCTTGTGCTCCCGTCAAATGAACGGGAATGGACTCCAGTGCTAGTTTTACCTCTTGTTTCGTTTCGTGCCGAGTTTGGCGGAAGTTTCGTGGTAACTTTTTAAGCAATTGAAGGTGAAGGAGTCACCTCATCTGGGATTGACCTGACCGGAACTCGCGCTGTTTTTTCTTGTGGTGTGCAAGTAAGCGAAAAATCTTGGTCGAGTAATGATCGGTTAAAAGCAAAATTGTTCGGTTAACCGATTAAATTGACCGAAAAAATTTTCTCGACCAAGAAATCTTTTTCTTTTGCCATGAAGTTGAAGCCATCGAATCACAGTGGGTAGTTGACGGGTGCTCTGGTGTGTTTTGCTTCTTCTTTCCTATCAAACATC